TGGCATTTGCCTCCGGCGCGGCCGAGCCGCTCGGCCGCCTTTAGCTGCTGTACGGGTTATAGTGAATATTGTGAATAGCCCGTACAGCAGCCCTTCAGTTCCACTGAACCAGGTAAGGCAGGTGATCTCCCCTTCTGCTGTAGAAGGGGGAAAAAGTCATGCGCTTAGTTTTGGAATAAGCCAATTGGGGGATTAGATGATCTCTAAATGTGAGGGGAAGGGGGAGGGGTTCTGCGTTTGTTCATTTTGTATTCATTGTCAGTTCTGATTGGTCGATCGATGTTACATAATAACGGTTGTTTTTGCTCCTCCAGATCTCCGTTTGTCAGTGTGACGGAATATTCACTCCTGAAAAATAACATCGTTCAACTGTGCCTCGAACTGACCACCATCGTCCAACAGGTGAGACTGAAGTTGGGGACCCCTCGTTCTGACTGTTATGGGGCCCGATGCATGACTTGCCTATGTTCTATTACCAACCCAAACATCTAGAGCTGCAGCTAACGATTATTTTCAAAATCGATTAGTTAGCCGATTATTAAGTTCGATTAATCGGATAAAAAAATAAAAAATAAAATACATTTTTAAAAATGGCTCCAGTGATGGGACTACTAGTTTGTATTGAGATTGGAGTCCATCACAGGAGCGAGCTTGGAGCGGTGTAAGTAAAAAAGAAAAAAGATAGTGTGGTGTGCAATATAGTGAAATGAAAAGTGTAAAATTATACAGCAATGAATGCAGAATGGCACCGGCTATCGAGGAATACACCAATTCCAGCAATAGTACATTATAGCTAGCGGCATTCTGCATTGCGCTTTATAAAGTACTATTGTTGGGTTCTGTAGTCCTCTATAGCTGGTGGTATTCTGCATAGCGCTCTATAATTTAGTATTGCTAGGTGTTTTAGTCCTCTCTAGCGAGTGGTATTCAGCATTGCACCACTGTATAATGTACTATTGCTGGGATTTGTTGTTCCTCTATAGCTGGTGGTATTCCGCATTGCGCTGTATAATGTATTATTCCTTGATTTGTAGTCCTCTATACAGCGCAATGCAGAATATCACCAGCTATATAGGAGTACAACAAATCCCAGCAATACATTATACATACATGCTATCGAGGAATACAAATCCCAGCAATACATTATAGAGCACCATGTGGGGGGGAGTGCAGGCTTCCCTGAGCAGTCTTCCAGCAACTTGCTTCTGAGATCGGACCTGTCTATTGGCGGCCGTCATCCCCCCACACCTGCTCCTCCTTACTACATCTCCCCGCGTGCCTTGCCGATCGTGGATGTGGGTGGGCGGTGAGTGTGAGACGGGGAGGAGGTGCGGCGTGAAGAGCGTGGATGCGGGCGGGTCTGGCAGCGGCGAGTGAGGTGGGGAGGAGGTGCGGCGCGCAGCGTGTGTGGAG